TTGGCAGTTAATATGTCCCCACCTCCATTTTCTCATTGTAATTCTGCCCTATGAAACATTTATCTCCCCGCCTAAGTAAACGCTCTCTTAAAAGTCTTCCTGGCTGGAAGATTAGACAGTACATGGGGTTCACTCTGTTAAAGTTGCTCTAGGTAACTTTTGCTATTTGACCAAGCGCTAGCTTGAATTTAAAAAAGAAATCTGTTCAGCCTTCCATTGATTCAAATGTATACAACAAACTCCACCTCCTTGACGTCACCGCCCGCCCCCAGTCCCGTTTTATCTAAAGTGTCTTACAATAACATGAGTGCATATATTCATAGCATGTGTGGTCTCAGCGGGAATCGAACCCCTAACCCTGGCGATGTTAACGCCATGCTCTACCAGTTCAGCTAGACAAGACCATATTCATTTCCTTTTCTTGTTTAAACTTTCTTGTTAAAAGCCTTAACTTGTTTAAACGTTCTTGTTAAAGCCTTTCCTTATTATTAACCCAATACAAGTGACGTCAAGCAGGAGTTCATACTTTTATGCATTTATGGATCAAGGGTAAAGGAGAAGACGCATTCAGCGATATTAAAAACAAAACAAACATTAAAAAAATGGACTCCAAAATCAGTCAGTCGGCGTGGCGAGGTAGGACTTTACTCTTTAAGAATGGTGGGAGTGATCATCTTGCTGAAGGAGTAGTATTTGCATTCACTTGGGGGTGCAATGTCCATGTTGGTGGTGGAGATCTTCTCCTTCTTGAAACCGGCTTGGAGCAGATGGGGCATCTGTGTCTCCTGAAAAATCATTAACACAGAAGGTGCAGGTTATTCCAACATGCTGTGTGCGTGTGTATTTTCGCTCCGTTTTATCTTTACCATGGCTTTATCTTAGAAAAATTGTCATTCGGGACATGTTCTCATTGGTCAGACAAACTGCGTATCAGTAGCGGTTCAAGGCTAGATAAAAGGGTGCAATCACCACACGAACATGCATTTTAAGCTTTAAATGTATACGTGTGAATGCAATACTTGAAACAGACTTGACTTCCTACAAATGTGTACTGGTTGATGGACTACTAGTACTATGTCAAATCTCTTGGATGCATTATATACCATGTTAAATTATCAATTATTTACATATTCACGGTCTTCTTGTGCCTTTTTGGACAGAACAGTGAAGACAGAGGGTAGTGGGATAAAATACATGACATGTGAAAGACATGTAGCATAGGACTGGGGAACCTAACCTGGGTTTTGTCTCCAACACATGCTCATTATAAAAAGGGGGTGAGGGTGGACCGACCTGGAACATCTTGTCGATGTCCGTGTATTTGTCCTTCAGCAGGTCTCCCCAGGAGGTCAGGTTGCAGTAGGTGAGGACTCCACCGGACTTCAGCAGCCTGTGTGCGTGGCCCTGAACAGTAGAGACACGCAAGATGTGTGATTGGCCCACATGGTTTTGCAAAAATTATCCCCCACTGAATCGTCACTTTAAACGGCAGATGGGTCATGTCATGTCTCAGCATCTGTTAAAGTTTTCAAGGCTGAAAGGGTGCTTCAATCAAACAACATAACAATTGTATGTATTCAATATCAGCACCGAGGACTATAGCGCCACCGGTTTGAAGCGTGAATCATCACAAACTGGAAATTTCATCTTGTATAACTGCTTTTATAGCCAATACAAAAAGTTAATCATTTTTTTCGTGTTCATACATTGTGATAGGATCCCCAGCCAGGTGATTTCCAGAAAGGTAGCTAAGATAGAGGTGGGTGGGGGTTGGTGGTGTGGTGTTGGTTGTGTTACCTTGATGAAGTCGAACTGGTGGGTGTGCCAGGTCTCCTCAGAGAGGGGGTAGGTGTCGTACAGTATGCCTGTCACAGAACAACACCTTACACCATTAACAGACCAGCCTATTTAGCCAAAAACAACTTGTCTTGCTCGGGGTCTGTGTGAAACAGTACCGTCAAAGTGGTTGTCGGGCAGAGTGGGCACCACATCCTCCCAGAGGCCCTTCAATGGGACAATCTGTACAATAAAACGTTGTCATTGTCAGAGTTGGGCACTAGAGTGAAGTACCCCATACCACATCCTCATCCCATACCACATCCCATCCCACATCCCCACACTGTGGCCCACCTTGTGAGGCTGGACCTTGGCCCACTCCTGCAGCCTGGCGAACACGCCGTCGTTGCACTCAATGATCCAGTGCTCCTCGATGGGGAACGACTCCACCTTGGTGGCGGCGATGGCCATGCCAAACCCAATCTCCAGAACCCGGCCTCCTGCCGGGACGGAAATCAATGCAAACAGATATAGATCAATAAATAATAAATACACTTTTTTTCTCACCACTGCAGAGTGGACAGTGACACTGACAGCCATCCCTCCCCGTGGACGTGGGCTGGTCAGGAGCAACATGTACAGAATGACCATAACGGGACATTTGGTCGCAAACACGTGACACACGTAAAGGTCGCGTTAAACGAGGAGCACCTGATAAAAATAGTAAAGGCCCTAACCCCGTTTCTTTACCTATAATCCTCAAAAGTGTATTTTTTTGTTTATAACTGTCACGTTTTTTAATACAATGTCGCGAAGGAAGCACGTTGAAGTCGTGAATAGTTTTTAAGTGAACCCATTAATCTCCCGTCGCGGCCTGTAAACAACAACGACGACAGACAATAGGGTTTTAATTAAAATGCTCGTCCCGTCGAGCTGCACTTTCTTTAACCCCTGCAGACCTCAACAGGAACTTCATGTCTCCATGTCTGTCCCCCCCCCTCGTGTCCAACGTCTCCGTGGTACAGTAACACCTGCCGCCAGCACTCACCCCGTCCACGTTGCGCTTCACTACTTTTTACTACTACTAACTACTACTACTACCACTACTGCTACTACTGCTACTAACTACTACTACTACCACTACTACTACTGCTGCTACTAACTACTACTACTACTACTGCTACTAACTACTACTACTACCACTACTGCTACTACTGCTACTAACTACTACTACTACCACTACTACTACTACTACTGCTACTAACTACTACTACTACTACTGCTACTACTACTACTACTACTACTACTACTACTACTACTGCTAACACTACTAACTAGTACTGCTAACACTACTACTAACTAGTACTACTAACTAACTACTAATAACTACTACTACTAACTAGTACTAATAACTACTACTAGCCTACTACATGTCACTACTACTACTACTAACGACTAAAACTACTACTAACTAGTACTACTAACTACTACTACTATACTACTACTACTACTAACAACTAAAACTACTACTAACTAGTACTACTACTACTACTACTACTACTACTACTACTACTATACTACTACTACTACTACTACCACTACATATGCCATGCGCAATGGGGGGAAAAACAGTTACAGTAAAGTAAACGATGCCATTGCACACAGTGTGCCATCGGCGCGGGTCGCGGAGCGGCGGTACCTTTGGACGCCGCCACGCCGGCCAGGGAGTGCATGTAGGGGGTCTCCCAGCGCTCCATGACGGGCTTGCCCAGGATCTCCAGGTGGGTGTCCGCCTCGTTGTACCCGGCGCTGGCGCCATGCCACCCGGGTTTGCAGTCCTCTCCCTTGGTGAATATGGGCTGTTCGGTCGTCATTTTAATCTTTGGGCCTGAGTCTTGAAAGTGGGGGTGAAGTGTGTGTGTGTTGGGGGGGACTCCTTAGTCCACTCGTCCGCAGAAGGAGGGACTGGGCACGGAGCGGGTGGGATTTATAAGGGGCTGCAGAGTGCTGACTCGGCGGGATGTCCTCCCAGCACCAGGAGGCGTTCACTATGGGGGTCACGATATGCTGGCATACCAAGGGGCAGCCTAACCCAGAGCTGGGCTGCTCGCTATTGGACATTAATTTGAATGACAAGCACGAAAGCACGCTGTTGAATGATTCACGTGCGCTCATATGGCGTTACATTTGGTTAATTTCCATCCTCGTATCGATATATTTCCGAGAACCGTGCAGAGAAACCGGTTTCTCAATGACGGAAAAACTGCAGCTGTCAAATGCCAGATGTCGTATGTCCAGGCATGTGCCAAAATGCATATAGGCCTACATAACTAAATATGATTCATCTTTGAGACGCTATTTCTTTTTTATTCATAGTAGGCCTACATGCTTTCAAAAAATAACTTAACTAGGCCATGAACTGAACAAATAGGCTACAATCATTAATGTGTATACAATGGCCATGCAGAAGCATTCATAATTAATTTCACTCAGCTAGTAAAGTCTCACATTATCTGATACAGTAGGCTATAACTTTACTATAATGCAGCCGTTAAGATCAGGACAAGACTATAAGACAGATAATATGACAACCTCAATATGTTATCAATGTTGTATGGGAGTGCAGAGTAGCTAGAATCAGTAAACAGTTAGTGGTTAATGTTTATCCAAATGAAATACATCTCTGCATTCAAACATTTGTGCAAATCCTTCCAAACGAAGGACAAATAAGTTGGCTATAGCAAAAAAAGATTAAATGACAAACCGTAAACTTAATTCTGACCGTTTACTAGCTTTAGCCAGCTGCATCCTATCATGTGAGGCTAATAATATCATGAAATATTCTAATACACTCTAGCTGGGTCAGACAGGATAGTCCAGGGTGTTGGACCCAGCTGAAAGGTACTGGGTCAATCCTGTATTGAGCAAGATGCCTATGTCACTTGGATAAAAGCGTCTGTGAAATGACTAAATAGTAAACATAGATCTAGCAGCTCCTGCGCATGCATTTCTACTAAAGCTACTCTCTAATGCACATTATCAACTTATTTAAAAGTCAAAACATTTAAGTCAGTGAAGACTTCTTAATCAACCCAGAAGGACAACACACTGCAGACATAAATACCTCAGCATGCATCTCATCCTTTAGCTGTCCTGAGGGACATGTATTTGCATTTTAAAGCTGCCAAGTTGCTCCTTTTTAAAAGGATGTTTTTTTGTGAAGTGGTCCTGTTTAGCTAATTTGGTAGAGCATGGCATTAATACTGCCCAGGTTTGGGGTTCAATTCCCACTGGGCCACCATGTTAAGAGATGGATGCACTCATTATATTGTAAGGCACTTTAGATAAAAGAGACCACCATATGGCGTATATTGAGTCTGTTTTTCTCATTTCCAGAGAGTACTGCTTATCTCAATATGTTGTTATCTATAAATTGTTGTATGTCTTGTGTGTGTGAATCACACAGTGCCTTTTAGGACATTTGACATCACATGTTGAGGAGGGCATGAAACATAAATGGATAGTTGACATTGCACTGATGCCAGTATGGAAACGTTTCTTTCTAAAAGTGTTTTTTAATAATGTAACCCACTAAGTGTAGTTCACCACCTTACAATAACATAATCAACAATCCGTGAACACAGCAGGAAATGTATTTAGCTTTGCACCGATTACTTTTTTGTTAATATGGCAAGGTCAATAAAGCAAAAACAAATACATTGATGTCATACATTAAAAGTAAACGCTTTTATATTAGATGCTAATCTATTAAAGCAGCTATTTCAATTACCATTCACACTATTCACAACGATATAAATGCTGTTGCAAAGAGAAAAAAGATATATGGTATCAATCACGCATTTAATTATAGTAGCCCACATTCGTTGAATTAATCCTCTTTTACACCAGTGCATTTTTAACCATTTTTAACCGTCCGAAAACCACATGAAACACATGACATAGCGTAAGAAGATGTGGACCAGCGGACCAGGTATAACTGTAAGTGTTGCAATGTCAGCAAAATGTCAGCACTGTGTGTCGGTACAATAAAGGGGCCACTCATTAAGGGACTGCACTCAATCACCACAAATGACCCTGCTGGTCGTTTCAGGACTTCCTCAACCACTGCGTCTAAGCTTTTGTCTTTTCTTTTTTTTTCTTTCTTTCATGTGCCAAAAATGTTCAAACATTAAAAAAAATATAGCAGGACAATTTTTTTTGTCCATTTTTATTTTTCGTGGGAATGTATCCCTTTAAATGCGGCTGGTCCCCGCAGGGGGGCCCGTGGCTGAGCGTCGTCACTGCGCAGAGCAGTTTGAACCAAAAAGCGGAGTGACCTTCCTGGCGCTCAGTCTGGTGGAGGGGCAGAGCAGCGAGGAGCAGCAAGCCGGCTGTAGCGTAGCAACACAGCCGCCTGAAGAGCCGCAGACATGAACAACAACAACTTAGCCGGAGATGAAGTCGGGTAAGGAGGTCACTTCGCAATCGTACCGCTTTGTGCAAGACGGGACTTAGTTAATTAAAACCCCGTAACTTCGCAGGCGGAGACCCAAGTCTCGCTTCGCTTTCTCTCTCGGCTTGTCATTTGACGGCTAGCGGTTAGCAAAGCGAGCTAGGCTAACGCGGCGGACGGTTAGCCGCGATGCTAGCCCGTGTAAAGTCGACCGAAAAAGAGTGGCTAATGACAACGCGCGGACCGAGGAGTTACTACGTTTTCCCGGCGTGCGTGTGGCCGTATATCCGCCCCGAGAGTTTGCCCTTCGCGGGCGAAAGTGCGGTTACTTTTCGGCGTTAATGTTTTGCAGTGTTTTATAACGAGCTGGTGTGTGTGTGTGTGTGTGTGGACGTCGCTGCGGCTAGCGGCGCTGATAAAGCGAAAGTCAGTCTCCGTGAATTCGCCGGCGCGAGGACGTTTAGCGGGCATTGTGGCGGTTCAACCGCAGCGCAACGGGGGGGGGGGGGGGGTCCTCCCGGTCGGTCACCGGGATCACCGTTATCACCGAGTCACCCGTCGGTAAAACCAGGTTTAATGGCGTAACACAAAACAAAAAAACCCTGCCAGCGTGTATGGTTTGGTTTGGGTTAAGCTCTCGTTGAAACTTCGAGCCCAGTCAGCATGTATCTGGTCGGCTGTCACCGCTGCAAGATGCCGCCTTGCGAGGTCGCCGCCGGTCCTCCGCCGCATGCAGAAGGACCAGCGGTGGGCATCTCCATGAAGGGTTTCTCGGCTCTTTAAAGTTTCTGCCGGCTCGGTCCATGGACGTGGCAAGAGGTGTCGAAACAAGGGGTGTTTGTGGCGACTAAACAAGCCGTTCGTTTGTGAATGACAAACCGCCGGCTGTTCACGTTAACTTGGCTGCCAGAGAGAGAGGTTTGAAGGTTTATATGCGTTTGTGTGAATGCAGTGTGAACTTTATGTGTTGATGACTACCATGTTGTAACCTGGCTTGTTAATGAAGTTTTATATTGGATTGAATCAATTGGAAAACGTTGCTGGTCTGGTACTGCAAGGGGAGCTCGTGTGTCATTTCCTCCATGTACTCTGCCCAAACGAACCTGTGGAAATGACAGCGCTTTGTTGCTACTTGATTTTTTTTTTTTTTTAACTTTTATTTCAAGGAAACTGTTTGTGGGTGGCTTGGACTGGAGTACAACACAAGGTGAGTTCACTGTTCAACTTCATGCCCCTTGCATTTGCCTAGTACAGTAAATAGCCATTGGGCTTTGTGACATTTTCTTAGATAGCCTTGCTGGTAGCTGTGGTCCAGAGTTTATTAATTAGATTTGGAGGTTGTTCCTGTTTTGTTTTTTTATACCTTTGTTAGATGATGCAATGTGTGCATTACAAGGTCATGTTATGTCCCGATACTTGCGTCTATTCAGAGTCCGGTGCTATCTCTGTCCTCCTCCCCCTCCTCCCCCCATTTGTCCCAAGAGGAGCTTGTCCGTAGCCCTGGGCGTTCGTAGCCCTTCTTTTAACAAACCCACGGTTCATTGACCAGCGCGGCGTATCTCTGCAGCAGGCTCGGTCTTACTGCCAGTTCTTCACAACATGAGCGGTGGCCACAGCCCTCTTTATATAGGCGTGCTTGTTTTCTCACTCATACCCCTGGGCTTTTTTTTACAAAGCAATGAGAAAAGCAATTACTGAGATTCCCTTTTCTTTTGTTGAAACATGCACACCCTGCCTCCAAGGGCACGTGAAGACACTCTATATCTTCTATATGCAGGTCATGCTATGTGTGTATGATGGCGGTGGATCAATACGTGGCGTGTTCTTGAGGGGTGCCAGTCTTTTTTTTTTCTTTTTTTTAAAAGAAAGTTTACATTAACTAGTAGTTATATCATTGCAGCATTCGGTGAAGATTTAGGAGTGAAAACAAGAATATGCATGTATTGATTTTTCCATCAACAATATTGATATTTAAGTCATAGGTGGTTAATTTGAAAGTGTGAGTTTGTTGTCTCAAGTTCACCCACGTGTATGTGAGGTTTTATTACAATATCAGTTAAATGTGCATCAGTTATCACCTTCACATATGCATATTATGACTACAATCCTTATCATGGTCACAAATCCTATTGGTACATACACTCATAGAAAAATGCATGTGGGACAGCATAGCATAGTGAGGGTGTTTCCATAACCAGCCGAAAGATTCTGGGTTCGAACCCCCGTGTGTGACATCCTTGCATTAGTGGAATGATGACATGGATTGGAAGTCCTTGGAAGTTGCTTTGGCTAAAATTGTCTAAGATTACTAAATGGTTAAGGCATACATTAGACACAATTATTTAATTTTAATTTCACAATTTCTCTATATGGTACTGTTGTGAGCCACACAGATTGACTGTTATGGACAGACTGTTACCGTTGCATACTATTACGTACAGCTGGAACATACTGTCACAGACTGTAACATACTATTCCATACTGCTGTCACATACTGTTAAATACTATGACGGTAACAATACTGTTGTTTTGTTCTTCTCTTAGAAACGCTTAGGAACTACTTTTCGCAGTATGGGGAGGTGGTTGATTGTGTAATCATGAAAGACAAATCAACAAATCAGTCGCGAGGGTTTGGATTTGTCAAATTCAAAGACCCCAACTGTGTACGAACAGTGCTGGAGACCAAGCCGCATAATCTCGATGGCAGAAATGTAAGTATCTGAATTTGACGGTTGAAAAAGACTGTCGGAAGTTCATGTGTGAATTTGTCTGAGCTAGAGTGGATGTGAATTTGACAGTTAAGCGACTGTCTGAGCTAGGAGTGTAAATTTGCCAGTTGAAAATTTGTTTATGTGAATTTCACTGTTGCCTATTTGACTGAAAAAGACAAATGTGATGTGCTCGTTCTAGTATAGGAACTGTAGACCAAAGTTGGTGTGTCAAATGCTCTGTGAACTCATAAGACCTCAAAAATCAATAATAATAATAATAATAAAAATACTGCTATCTCCTAATTTTATTCAAACACTGATGTGGTAACGGAGTGGTCTAGTTTTGTTATGTTATATTACAATTAATAAAATTGTGCAGTGTATGTTGAACAGGATTGATGTATTTGGCATTATTATCAACTTGATTGTTATATTATTATTACAACCGCAATTCTCATTTTGTGACATCACTAATTGCAGTACGCTGTTATTTTTGCTTAATGCTGGTGGAGTTGTAATTGCCTGCAGCTAACAGAAACCGGAACAACATTTGAATTGCTATTTATTTCCAAAACCAGATCTACTGGTTTTAAAGCCAAATCAATGAAACTGTTTTTAGTTTTTCTAATCATGCCGGCAGGTTACTCGCTAGAAATGAAGAGGTGATGTTTGTTCCCTAAAAATAATTTGGCTTCTCTGTTGGTGCGTAATAAATAACCCTGTTGGATGTTGTCCTGAAGGGCATGTGGTTTTATTTATCATACAATTACATTAATTAATATGTGTGGGGACTGTGTGCGCCCCTTTTACATGAGATTGGCTCAGGAACATTTGAAGGTGCTTTTCATTCAGTGATAAGGTCAACCTCTCTTCCTGTCTCTCTCTTTATCTTTATCCCCCCACCCACCCACCCCTTTCTCTCCCACACACTCTATATTTCTCTCTTCGTCTCTTCCTCCCTCTCTCCTTCTCTCTTGTGCTCTCTCCCGTCAGATTGACCCAAAGCCGTGTACTCCCAGAGGAATGCAACCTGAAAAATCTCGAACCAAGGAGGGCTGGGTAAGGTGTGTGTGTGTGTGTGTGTGTGTGTGTGTGTGTGTGTGTGTGTGTGTGTGTGTGTGTGTGTGTGTGTGTGTG